GTGAAGAACGTAATATTTAATAGGTGAAGTTAATGCACAAAATATTAATAATGAAAAGGCAAAAAAAGTGTTGCAAGCCATCTTATTAAGGAAAAGGAACATTGATATGATAAACTGAGAAAAGACTGAAAATAAAAAAGTATAAATACCTATGCTAACACTTAACAATGCATCGAGAATTCCGAACATGTTTTTATGTAGCTTTAAATTTTTTTTTATTTGGCTGTTGAATTGTTTGTGGCCTAAGTATGAAGAAAATGATGATTAACAATAAAGCTAAACAGACAAATAAGAAAAAAATGGGTTAGCAGGAGTGAGTGCAGCAGGAGACTAGTATATTGCAACATTAGCGAGAGCGTACAAAAAACCTTTTCAAGCAATTTTGGGTGATTGCCTTAAACACATTTTGAAGCTCACTGAAACAGGCGGCAAATAGATCACCTTGGGTGACAAAAGCTTTGGTTACATTGCTGAGCAAAACGAAGGTTAGTAACTATGAGGTAGAAACATTGCTCATGTAGGTGAAAATAAATACACTTTTTTTTTTAAAATGGTCTGCGGAAGTTGCCAGTTCTTTCTCTCTTAAATACTTACAGCCATCTCTCATTTAAATATTCCGGTAGAGTAGATGAAACACTAGATGTTGTAGGAGAATTTTATGTTAGCAAAGCGTGTTGATTAAAATTAAACATGTAAGTCACTTCTTAAATAGTAACTATCCCAAATAAACTCGTCATTAACATATGCGTCATAGTAAAGAGATCAGTTTAATAATTGTTAAATGAGATTGATTTCCGTGGCTTATCATAATCAAATAGCTTCCTTAATTATAAATATTATCATTAGTCTAAAGTTAGCCACCCTACCAAAAAAACAGTTTTAACACCATTAGACATATCGACATGAAGGATCGACGCTACGTTTTCCATTCGAAATGCTTCAGAGTTGTTATTGAGTAGATGAGTGATATAGGAAAACAAAAGAGCTTGAAATTGGTTCTTTTTTTATTCCCATTCTTCAAAGTCGTTATTCTTGCAAGTAAAAAGGGGAAATTTATTTAAAAACCGAAGTAGAGTTTTTTTTTTTTTTTTTTTTTTTCGTGATGGTAATAATTCATGCATACGGATACATGTTATTACTCATATTCCTAAATATATGCGAATACACCTGCATGCTATGTTAAGTTAAATAGAAAAAAAAAAGAATCAGAAAAGCATAGAAATGTTTCTTATTTACTTTTAAACAAAAAAAAAATAGGGGCTGAAAATCAAATCTCTACAGTTTAATAAAAATAAAACAAATAATAGATGTTGCAGTTTGTACCTTACCAAAGAATTTTGATTATTAGATTTTGAAGTTATGCAATTGTGTAAAGACATTAAAGAGATCTTAAACGAGATACGTGTGATTAGAGCTAAAACAGAAAGGGTTCTCTTGATAAAATATAGGTGGGGTCTTTTTATAATTATTCTAGTAGTACAAATGCTTATATGAACTCATTCCTAGTTCGATGATGAATACACCTAACACCAATAATTGCTCTTCTCAGAATATAAACTTTATGTCTGCAATAATAATGAAGTTACTGTATGGATATTCTACCCACAGATAAAAAAAAACACACTGTAAAACATTTTGTTGTCACAAAAATTACAAAACTCTGTTAAGAAAAATACATTTATTTTCTCGAGAAAACCCTTTTGTATATACTAATATGCTGCTTATTTCTACGGTTTGGAAGTTAAATGAAAATCTTATAACTTATTCGGGATTTGGAAACAACTTTTCTATGAGTTCCTTCTTTAAAGTAAACAACAACACCCTTCGGGGCCAAGAAAAATATTTACTACAAGGTGAAGGAAAAATATCAGATATGAAACTTTTTTATTTAAATATCAGTATCGATAATGTTATAAGGTTATTCTACCTTTCAAATATATGTTCCCTTATTTCATTTGCATCAGTGCTACATTATAATCTTCGGTAAACATAAATATTACCCTAGGACAGAGTTTCTAAAACTGTGGGTCGCGGGACCTGCAGCAGGGGAAGCAGGGGATTGCCAAAAAAATTTTGCCTTTTTGATATTTCTATAACTTATTATAATAATTTTACAATTACCAAATATTTTTACACAATATATCTGAAAATAGATAAAGATAAGACAATACAGACAAAGTAAAAACGAAAACGTTTCGATGCATTCTTTTTATAATATAAACTTTCATTTTTTACTTGCTTTGCACGTGACGCTGTCATTTCGTCTGTTACTTATTTAAAATTTTCACATTTTTCTATGTCTTAAAATTAGAAATGAAAATGAATGACCTAAAACTGCATTAGTATATTACAGAACAAGTGAAAAAATTGACGTTTCACTCACGCGTTTGTCGTATTTGCGCAATGCTTATGAGGTACCAGATAATTTTGGTAAATATTATGGGGTCCTGAAGTCGCGAAAAAAATCCCAGTGATAAAAAGGGGTTAAAAAAAGTTTAAGAAGTCTCGCCCTAGGACATAAACTTCGAAAATAATGTATACGAAAATCTGAGACTCTCAAAAATACAATTACCAGTGTATCCTTACAAAATAGTTGAAAAAATTACTAGTAGTGTTAAATATTTTATTTATTTACTTTAAGACTGTAATCTAGTTTTAGATCCAAAACAGAGATCTGACTTTTATAGAGATAGATAATTAAAAAATAAATTGACATGTGCCCTAAACAAGTCCTAATATCTCGCAAAACATAACGGACACATTACATTATAAGGTATTTCCCCCGCCTTCTTAGCATGCTGTCGTAGTGCACTCTATGCCCGTATTCGAGCGTCCGTGGTTCAAGGGCATTGCTCATTTTTCTTGTCTCCTGCATCGAAGTAACCAAATTTAACCTAATATAATTTTAAAAATATGTCTTTACAACATTTCAAATTAATTTAATACTGGGCTGATGTTGGGAACGAAAATCGCATCCAAACATAGACCAACTAGAATCGTAAGGCGCATTCTGAAGTGGTAACAAAAGAAAAAGAAACATAAGGATAACTACAGAAAATCTCAGCCTGTTGTGATTGAAAATTGTAAGAACTAAATTAACTTCAATAATGTCTAACTAAAGATTCAGAATATTGACAGGTGTTTATATTTCAAAAATTATAGTTAGAGTCTAATTAATATCTAGTGTCAAATATTTAAAAAAATTGCATTAGGAATATTTAGACAGAATTTATATCAAAATATTAAAACATGAAAACTTGACAAAAACTTATTTTTTTAAAATGATCCAATGGGCATTAGGTTCACTAGCAGCCAAGTTGCAAAGCTGCTTGTGGTTGGATCCATGCTCTAATCCTAACGAATAGACTGGATGCACGGGCTTTTCGGAATTTTCCTCATGTGAAAGGTGGGTACAAGCTAGTTTCCCTTAGAAAGTCCTCCACGTAGGCATCTCTCCAGTTAGGCAGATAGCCCTCCTGTGCATGGACATAATCAAACAAGCCAAGTTATTAAGAATTAAAATGATAAAGCATTTTAGCTAAATAATAAATTAAAGAAGTTCATATAATATACCTAAATAATATTATTAAAAAAATAAGTAATGCAAAATAAGAGCGAACCGTAATAAACTTTTATTTTGCAATTTCAAAAGTTATCACTAATACATTAATACATAAAATGTGGGCGTGCTCAAAAAAAAAAAAAATTCACGAACTTTAATAGCGAGTTTATTTGTAATGAAAATACTGTGGCTTAAAGGATAAATTTTTGATTATTTAAAAATAAAGGAATCAGTTTTTCTGAATCACGTATGAAGCCTGTAAATCCTTAAAAATCTAAAAGCACGTGAATATGTTTATATATACACAAATATATACAGTGCAAGACGTATAAGCTACACAAGGTATAAATATATACAGTGCGAGACGAATAAGCTACACAAGCTATACACAAATATATACAGTGCAAGACGTATAAGCTACACAAGCATATAGACGTATAAGCTACACAAGCAAGTGCCCACTTTCTTAGGGACCTCTTCAAAAAAAATTATAGTATAAATATAGTATAACAGACTTATAAAGGGCCCATATCTCAAATAGCTTAGGGCCGTATCAAGTCTAAACCCGGCCCGGCTCTGCATATATATATAGATAGAGAGAGAGAACAGATAAAGGAACTCAAGTTCGTTTAATAACCTAGTAAAAACTATTTTAGTCATTAAAATAATATATAACTAAGCTCTAACGCACCATTAAGTGGGAGTGCACCAAAACCCTTGTTGTATTCAACTTACTGTTTCTTGATCCTTCGCTTTCAAATTAGATTTTACTTAAGTATTTTTTTTTTGAAATTTCCTATTCCTTGGTTTGTGCTTATTAGTAATTAGAAGGTTTGAATTTTATATATATATATATATATAGAGAGAGAGAGAGAGAGAGAGAGAGAGAGAGAGAGGGATTTTCTTGTATTTTTTAAAGAAAGAAATTAAAGGAATAAGTTAAAAAGAAGGCAAAAAATGCACGCATTTCGACATTCTTAATTTCTTTACCTCTGAATATATAATTAATATATTAATATTTCATCTGAAAAACCCCAAAGATTTTATGATTGCTCCCAGGTAACAAATAAGAAAGTCTAAAGAAACGAAGGATGCATTTTAAACGGATCAAGCAATGTATGCCTTTTGGTAAGTTACCAGAGATGTTAAAATAATGAATTTAAAGTAGCTCTCATTAGTTCAACTCCTTCAGAATCGAGACTGCAAGAGTCATTTTGTGATCAGAAAGGAAGAACTTAAAAGGAAAGAAACGTTTCCACAGGAAAACATAGAAACTGGGATAACACAAACGCTCCTTTCCTTGCCAACTTTCTCCACAGCCCTGTCGCGTACGCAGTGACAGTCCACCTCACATCAGATAGTAGGCAGGTAGGTAGGGGTCACAAGTGCGCCCACCCACCAACCACACTCTATAAGACACCAACGAGCGAGTTGGCCTCGGGGCCTGTTCGGGGTTGGCCGGTTTCTAGGGTGTAACCATCTTAACAGCGCTCGCTGAAGGGAAAGAGCAGTTCTGGCTCAGTCTGAGACTGAACTGGAATGCCAGGAGACTCCGAATGAACCACAGAGATTTTTTACAAAGTGGTTTTCGAAATCGCTTTGTCAGAGGGACTTGGATTACTTGTGGTTGGATCCCAGGGTCGTTAGAGACTCGTCCTGAAGGGTAGGTGAGTGCTTATGAAGAAGTATCAGTGAAGATCCTTTTTTTTCTTAATTGGATAAAAAATTTCTCTCATATGCTTAAAATCTTTTTTTTTTTTTTTTTTTTTTTTTGAAGTGTGTAACGGGATTTTCAAGTAAACATTCAGTCTCAAATTTATGTTTTCGACGCAAACGTCTTTCAAACTGTGAATTTAAAATAAAAAAAAGTAAATAAAAACAAGTAAATAAATAGATTAAAAATATCACATCGATTCAATTCTAAAAAAATTCTGAAATCTGTGATAATTTTGATCTAATTTCTCGTTACACCGAACGGCATTTTCTTACATGTTCATATATCATCACTTTTATTAGTGCAAAGTACATGAATTCTTTATAAGATTTTAATAATGCTAAATAATATTAATCTAGAATGAAATTTTCCAAAACTAGCACAACTGAAATTTAAGTTTTTAAACAACTCCTATTTTATTTCTACCTTTAGTTTTTCGCATTTCATTGTTTTTGCCTCGAAGGTTTCTCCAGTTAGAAGCTTAAAATTAAGATGACATACTTCGTATTACATTTCATGATTTATTATTTTTAGGCGGTATAATCCAATTTTACTTTATCTTTAAAATGAGTAATTTTACTACAGTTTATTGCGATGCAGAATATTTTATTTATTAAGTGATGCAATTTTATTGACTATTTAAAATATTTGTGAATGTTTTAAACCATTATTGCTTTTATAAGTTTTTGGATATATAACTAATTCAATTTGTCAAAATAGTGTGTTATGAATAACTTGTGCATACAATATTTCGAAAGGAGGGAATTATGAATATCTGCCACTTTGCTTTTAAAGCGTAAGTATTTAAAAATTTATTAGAAATGTATTTGACAATCATTTGCTTCATTTCATATTTCCCATTGCTATTTTGGAACCCGCGCATTTTTCTGTCTTCGGATATATTTTGGCAAGATTATCAGAACTTCATAGAAAGATTTGCTTGGTGCTTGCATTTCAAAATATTTCTCGCTATTATTTTAGTTCTGCTGAGGTAAAGCATTACTAGGGATTTCGAAGTTCAAATGATAAAAATAGCTATGTTAGTCTGAAATAATGTGCTTAAAGTTTTGTTATAATAATGCAACATTTTCTAGTTTGTTATAGAATAAAAAAATATCATTTCAGTTTCAAAAACTGAAGAAAAATAATTTTAAATGAAATTTCATATTTAGTTGCAACATTTTATACTAATTATCACTGAGAGTCTGCTGATCTAATATTTGAAAGTTCAGACAACGTTACTGTGCATTAGGAATAAGATATTCTTTAAAATAATTGCAGTAAACTAGAGAAATTCTGGCAAATGGTCTTCTTTACAATAAGCTATAATTTTAAGACATCCACCTAAAAGCAAAATAAATAGCCAGAAATTAAAGCAATAAATAAGCGCTTAATACAAGTAATAAACTTACAATTACGATTATTTTTCCAGTTTTAATAAAACTTTGCAGAGAAAATTATACAGGAATTTTACAGAGAAAAGAAAAAGAAAATTTTATAGAAAATTTATTTTCATTAATTAAAAACTAAATTTAATTTCTTTCAAAGAAATTATTTACTTTAAATTATCAAACTTAAAATACACGAAATATTTGATGCCTTAATTATTTTCCCGTTCTCTAATAATTTCATATAACGTTACAGCTTTAAATATATTTCAGTGGAGACCGCATACATGCGCTGAATGGAGAATGTTAGATTATGATTTAGTAAAACAGCGATCACAGAAGATTTAATTTTTTTTTCTTTTTCAGAATATGTATGCTTTTTATTAATTGTGGATCATACTGAAAATATACAGCATTGTCAGTTAAAACGACTTGATATATTTATATTTTCAACATTATATGTTAAAGCAAGTTAAAATTTATGTTTTAGTTTAGATAATTTAAAGATAATGTCTAAAACAATCTTCTGCAAAACGAGTGAACTATGTTTTCTTTTATAATAATATCTATGCAATGTTTTATGTTTCAATAAAGGCAAAAATTTCTCTAATAAATAAGACGTAACCGTAAATTATCGTATATATGAATAAAGAAAGTAATTCAGGAATTCATGTTGTGCTGAAACATGCACTCAAAAACATTTAAGTTTCTTTTGAAGATTACTAATCACAAGATGTAAAGTGCCTTTAAAATAAGGCGGAGAATTAAACAGATAAATATTTTACCAGCTTGTCACTTTATAAATTGTAAGAATAAGAATTATTCAGTCTCAACTAACTAGGTAAATGAACTAGCGATTGGCTTAATTAAAATTATTTTTTTACGTAAGCTCAAAAATTACTGTTATAATAAAATGTTTACTATTTCCGATAATTTTTTTATTTAATAGCATGATACGTTGAAGATACTAAAACTCTTAAAACCTACTGAAGCGTCCTCAAGTCTGGAGACTTGCTTGGTTAGAATTAACCACACGTTTTGTAATCATTTCCCTTAAGCATCTCAGGATTTACTTGGCATTTTCTTCCTAACTTTAAATTTCTGTTGATTTATTAAAACGATTTATTTTTTCAAAGGGACTATAGGACTATTATTTTCTCGTTCCTATAAGGACTATTATTCTCGAAATGACATTTTGTGTTGAATCACTAAAAGCGCTGAATCATTTTTCAATTTTTTTCCATTAAATATTCGACCTGTATTATAGTTAAAGAAATTAAATAATAAGGAATGTGCATGAATGTATGTATATTTTTTGCATTGTGAACAAACGATGGTATCTAGAGCCATCCAATTTTGCATAGCGTAAACCTCTACCCGAACATGGGTACCTGGAAGCTCGAATTTTGCATTTCGAAACTGTTTTATTATTTATTTCACATTTTCTAAAACTTTAAGAAATTTTTGATCAAACTCAAAGAGTTCAAAGTGAGTAATGGCAACACTGTGCAGGAAAAAAAGCAATTTTATCTCCATCGTACGAGACTGTCTATCGGAAATTCAAAATCTGAAAATTTTCAGATTTTTTTTGTGTGTTATTTTTATCCCGCATTTTACAATATACAGCTTTTGCTGAAATTCCTATGAAAGTAAATACAAATGACGCTTAAGTCATACATATTTCGTAAACAGCCTTAACATTTATATATATAGCGCATCTGTTCAGTATTCTTTACTGTTAATAATACACATACTATAAAAATACGATAGAATACGATAAAAGTTTTAATTTTCAAAGCATTTTCGTTTGTTACTGGCAACGTTTCATACAAATAACCGAAATACCATGCTATTAAAATGTTCAGGTAACCGAAACTAAATGCCGAATAAAATTCTAGAGAGTACTTATACAGGTTCGATAAGGAAATTAATTCCAACGAAAATTCTCTTCCGTAAAAGAGTAAAATGGAAGTTTTGGAAAAACATTAGAAAGTTGTTTGAAGTGCTTCTTCCGTAAAACCGTATTTCCACTGCATTGCAGCGAGTAACTTCAATTTATCGAGTAAAATCTTGCAGAAACTAACGGATGATGGGTTGGCACTTGTGAGCGTTTTATTGATTTTTATATCTGTTTAGTATGCATCATTTACCATACTTGAAACATAGCGAATAATAAGATTTTCAGCTGGTGTTTCATCTTTGGGAGGACATCGTTTCCAACATGTTTGTAATTTCTCCGAAATTCTTGATATTAATTTATAAATCATAAAAACATAATACGTAGTTAAGCAATTAAAGAACTGAATATTTGAGTCAATAAAATAATTAAATCAACTCTTATTTCATTTAAAATGTTTTATTTCGTTAATGTGGAAACAAACTGATGGAATTTAATAGGAAACAAACTAAAATAGACTGTCAGCTTTTCAAACATCGTAAACTGAATTGGTAATTGCGTAACATAAGAATGCAAGAAACCGTTTGAAGTTTATGTTTTCATTTTCTGATTTTACGGACTTATTTCACGAACGTTTTAATTCTCCTTCAATGACATTCGGGAAATGGTAAAATGGTTTGCTCTTGTCACGGCTAGCTTTAAGCATACAAACACATGAATATATGTGGCAGTTAGTTATTGTTGGAGTAGGAAAAACACTCGCAAATCAAATTACTTATACGGTTAAATTTATTACGAATTTAAATGCTTTTCCACGATTTTAGACTGCCGGATGAATTTTTCACCAAGTCTTAACTTAACTAAGTTAGAAATCTGAGTACAGAGCAGAAATAAACAACTAAAAATTATCGTTGATTTCAAGGCAGAAATAATGTAAACTGATATCCGCTTCTCGTAGGAATGACAGACAACATTGAGTCATGTACAAATAAAAACTTTTAAGTTTAGAGCCTAGCTCTTAATGCTCAATTGTACGACTCCTATTTAATGTCCAGTTAAACTGAAATTTAGCCAACTGGCAGAAATATTACTCTCACCGAAGAGGAACAGAGAAACTTTACTACACCCAATTCAATTTACCAGTCTTTTCTGTATTGATCTCAGATTCTTATTCTTACTTGTAACCCTTCTCATTCATATATTCTGGCGGAGTAAACGAAACAATAGGAGTGAACAGGAGTGTAGGGCAGACTTTAAGATAATAATAGTTAAAATGAATCTTTCTACTATCTGCTAGTCAATAACTAAAATGCATTTAGCTGTTCTTGCTTGCAAATAAATGAAGCAAATGAAGCACCGATAGCACCGATAGAAATCTCTGTGGTGTGAAATTAAACAGGTTATATGTTATGCAATTCAAATTGGCTCTTAACTTACAGGGTGCCATTATATTACTTACACACATATGAAATCCTAAGCTAAGAACTACTTAACGGCTATTTCAGAAATTGTTCGAGACAAACATTAATTACTGTTCCAAAAGAGTAGATAAGTCGGTAAAATAAAAGTCAGAAAAACTTTAAAAAAATATTTCCTACAATTAATCTCATGTCATTAAGGGAAGAAACAATAATTTGCTAGATATTTTCTAATTCATTGTTTATTTGC